TCTAGCTCTGGTAGTCTGACTTTAGAATTAATATTAAAAATTGTTAAAAGTTTTTTTTAAATCCTCTATACAATCTCTTTGTTCTAGCATTGAGGATATGCCATGGGCGCAGAACTTATGGGAGAAAGTTGAGCAGCATACCAAAAAAGGCTTTCTGAACTGGTGTAAAATTGTAAAAAAAGTAGCCGGTAACAAAGGCGAAGATGTTATGTGGAATAAGGACTATCTCAGGTCGGTCGATGAGATTTTTTGCGATATGGTGACCGAAATGTCGCAAACTCATTCGCGTCAACCATCAACAAAATGCAAGAGTTTTTCACTCGACTAGAAAGGGCGTGCATCGAACTCCACCAACCATTGCCTGAAATTAAGGAAGAAGGTTTAAGCCTTTACGAAGCCCAGCAAGAATTATTGAAATACGTGAATAAGTGAGTTGTTAAAAAAATTAATTTACTTATTATATTTTTTTTATTAAATTAATTTAGATATGAAGCTGTCGTTAATGCTAAGAAACTAGCTCTGGAAAATCTTAACAAAAAACAAATACAATTATGCAAAGAGTTAGACCGGAAAATACAAATTGATTTGAAGTACCCCCCATTGCCTACCCAAGCACAGTTTGATAAATTGGAAGCAGAAAAGTTTGAACGCGAGGAAAAATTCGTAAATTTGAAACACGAAATCACAGAAATCGTTGATGAAATCAAATACAAACCCAATAGCGACTTTGAAAGAGAGGTTTGATTTTTGTAATTTTTTTTTTTTTTTAATAAACTTTGATAAATATTTTTTCAATAGGTATTGTCTTCAGATGATATGATGTTGAGTAACCAGAATCTAAAAATGCTGGAGTTTTTCGCCAAGTGTATGAAAGAGCTCAAACTATCCACCGAAGAAGAAGTGTCCCATTTAAGAACAAGAATTGAAGATCTATGAGAAAAGGGCAAGCAAAATCCCCAGACAAGAAGAAACCCAGCGACCCAGTCCGATACTTGGGAGCAAGCTGAAGTGCCCTCTGCAAGCATCACAACGAGGAACATGCCTGTTTATATCCGGTCTAGAACCAAACACCAGTCCAGAAGATGTCAAAAAATACATTGAAGAAACCACAAAGGTAACCATACTAGTAACAAAAATGAAAACAAAAACTGAAAAAATAAAAAGCAGTTTTAAGCTGGAAATCCCATCACACATCAAAGAGCAAGACATGTCACCAGAAATGTGGCCCAAAGGGACCTTTGTACATTTTTTTCTGAGACTCCGACAGAGCCCAATACGGGCAAACAAAAACTAAAACATCAATCAACAGGAAATGGTCTAAATATTTTTCACATGAATATTCAGAGTATCCGAAATAAAACACTCGAACTAGAAGTAGTCCTGAAAACACTGGACACTGAGCATCAAATTGTCTGCCTATCAGAAACATGGCTCCAACCAGGTGAAGAAGCATTTGTCAAGCTTGAGGGCTACACCCTGCTAGCATCATTTTCACGCTCTAAAATTCAACATGGTGTTGTATGCATCCTGGTCGGAGATGGAGAGGAAAACTTTATGGAATTGGATGACTTCAAAGAATTTTGTATAGAGGGGCAAATAGAACTCTGTACTTTAATAAATAAAATTGATAAAATTCTAATTTTCTGTATTTATAGGTCCTGTAAGGGGAGTTGTGAACTCTTCCTAGAGGTCTTCGAGAGGCTGTGCAGAGAGGTCAGGGTGCGCTTCCTGAATTACAAAGTCTTGTGGGCAGGAGATTTTAACATCAACTTGTCACCGACAGTGAGTAACAATAATGACAAAAATAAACTGTTGGATCTTATACACTCTTATAACTATGAACAGACCATATTTGACATTACAAGACCACCAAAGGACAAAAACAGTGAAAAGACATCTTGCATTGATCATTTTTTTCCAAACTTTGGTGATTATGAAAACAGTGTGGTCATCCAGACTGTTGTGAGTGATCATTATGCCCAATCAATAAGATTACCACTAGATAATTCTGAAATAAACAAAAATAAAGAAAAAATTAAAGCGGTTAGGGTTTTTTCTAGAAATAACACTGAAAGATTCTGTGAGGAAATACAGCGCTGCGACTGGGGTAGCATCTATCGGGAGCCAGATGTGGACAGGGCCTTTAATCGATTTGAACACATATTTCTACAGAAAGTAAATCTAATTTTTCCAGTAAAAAAAATGAAGCAAAGAAACAAACCAACAGACAATTGGATCACAGCTGGTATAAAGATATCTAGTAAAAATAAAAGAAGACTATTTCAAAATGTTAGAATTGGGGTAACAACTGTGGAGCACTACAAAAAATACTCAAATATACTCAAACAGGTAATAAAACAAGCAAAGAAGCTCAGCAACAAAAACTTTATACAAAATGCTGAAAACAAACAGCAGGCAACCTGGAGCTTAATTAAAAAAATAACTGCCACAAAAACAATAAAAAAAGACTCAATTCTAAACCACTTTGAATATGAAAATGAGGCTGAGTTCCTGAATGATGTGAATAACTTTTTTGTAAACATATGCCCTGATGTGATGTCAGAGAGCAGTAGTAGCCAGGCTGATAAATCTGACACTGTGTGTAAAAAGAATCTTGAACTCCGACCTTTGACAGCTCTAGAAACCTTGAAAATCATAAAAGATCTAAAAAATAAAAAATCTACCGGATATGATGAGATCCCTGTTAGCATTATAAAAGCTTGCGCAAATTCACTTGCAGAGCCATTAACATACCTGATAAATCTATCGATGCAAAATGGCATCTTTCCTGCCAATCTTAAAATTGCACTGCTAAAACCAATCCACAAAAAGGGTACTCTAACTGATCTAAAAAACTACAGACCAATTTCCTTGTTATCCAACTTTAGTAAAATCTTTGAGAGATCAATTTATATAAGATTATTAAACTTTTTAGAAGAAAATGTCTTGTTGAGTGAAAAACAGAATGGTTTTCGAAGGAAAAGATCCACTATAAGAGCTATCTACACAGCACTAAATCGAATTTTGGAATCACGAAACAAGAACAATGTCACCATGGCCGTCTGTCTGGACCTCTCAAAGGCTTTCGACAGTGTAGACCACGGCCTGCTCTGTCGAAAGCTTGAGAGGATCGGAGTACGAGACACACTTCTGAGACTGTTCGAGTCATATTTAAATCATAGAAAACAGGGTGTCTTGGCAGAAAATAGCCTAGGGGAGGTAAAAAAATCGAACTTTGCCTACATAAAAAGGGGCGTACCCCAGGGCTCAATACTGGGCCCACTGCTTTACTTAATATATACAAATGATGTTGCAAATGTACTAGAAAATGTGGTGGTACTCTTTGCCGATGATACTTCTGTGCTCTGTTGTAACAAAACCAAAAACGAATGTGTCACAAATGTCCGGGAATCACTTGAAGGTCTTCAGAATTGATTTACAAACAACAATCTTCAACTTAATGTGGCAAAAACACAAATTATAAACTTCAATCTAAAACCTGAAGAAATAATGATTGACTACAATGACACTACAATTGCTACAAAGGGAAATGTTACCTTTCTTGGAGTGGTGCTGGATGAGAGGCTGGACTGGCGTGCACATATTGACCAGCTTGCAACAAGCATGAGTAAATACTGTTACGCCCTAAGGGTTCTTAGAGACTCAGCAGGCTGCTCGGCAGCGCTAACAGCTTGCCAAGCTTACATCCAATCAAGGGTGAGATATGGTGTCATTTTTTGGGGTAGTGTCTCGGAGTCGCAAAGAATTCTGAAGCTTCAGAAAAGGTGCTTAAGGACAATTTATCAAAGAAAAAGTACGGAAAGTTGTAAAAATCTTTTTATTGAGAGTAGTGTGCAAACAATTTTTAATATCTACATCTTAGAGTGCATAAAATTTGTTTCAGAAAACCCAGATATTTTTGACCAATTAAAAGCAGACCACCCCCATGATACTAGGTTTAAAGAAAACTTAAAAACAGAAACCGCTCAGTACTCATACATTGCAAAGAACGTTAAGCATAGCATTCTGAGGGTCTGGAATGCTATTCCCATTTCATTTCGAAGGCAACCGCCACAGAATATCAAAAGAGAAATTAAAACATTCCTAAACTCAAAAGCTTACTACAGTCTGGATGAGTTTTTCACTGATCCACAAATTGACAACTTGGTAAAGTAAAGTTTCTTAATATCAAAACACACAAGCAATCATTACCAAACTAACACAGACAAATGGCATAGATGGGGACGCACACTTGGTCCTCTCTGTGCAGGCACTCGAGGGCTCAGGACAACTGAAAATTGCAAGAGCAATATTTGATTTATGTGTTCCTTATTGTATTATGTAAATTTTAAAGATTTTTGTGACTATTTATATTTTTATATTTTATATTTTGTGTTTGTATGTTTGAAATTATTATTGTTATATGTAGTAGTATATGTAATAATCTTATTTATTTATGACATGATCAACACCCTAGAGGTAAAAATGTAGAAAACTTGTGATACGCAGTATACTGTGAATTGTATTTGTCTTTTTTACATGATCGAATAAAGAATCTATCTAATCTATCTATCTATCTATATGGAAAATGTTGGATATCGAGTTAATAGATAGAGATGAATTTAGAAGTCATTATACAGAAAACTCATTAGATACTTTGGAAGCGTTAAAATTGAAGTAAAAAGATGCGAGGAGCTTAGAAAAGCCAACATAAAAAAATTTGTGGACAAATTAAGAGACCAACTCCAGACTATTTGGACAACATGTCATTGCTCAGATGCGGACAAGAAGACTTTTAGGTATTTTTATGATGATTTTTATACAGAGGATTTGCTTGACCTGCATGAATTGGAAATTCAGAAATGGAAGAAATATTACGAAGATAACGGCAAACTTTTGGATATAATAAAGAAGCACCAGGAATTGTGTGTGGGATAAGGTGATACAATTGCCTATTTTGTTTGTGTGTGTTTTTTTTTTTCAAAAATATTTTTTTTTAGATGATACAATTTGAAGAAAATGCAACCGGAGTAAATAGATTTAAAAATAGAGGTGGTCAATTGCTGCAAGAAGAAAAAGAACGCAATAAACTCTCTAAAGTAATACCTCAACTGGAAGAACAAATGTTGAATCTGTCTGGAGCGTTTTTGGTTAAGAACGGTGTAGTTTTCAAGACTTTTGGTAGCACTGTCGAGGAATATATCCAAAATTTGCACGAGTCCCGTGAAAACGTACATAGATTCTATTTTGTAATAATATTTTCTAATCGATTTTTTTTAGGACCGTAAAACTAAGCTGAGCGCTCGGAAATTGCAACGTTGTGAAACAACTCTTCGCACTCCAGGTAAATCTTGTATGAGCCTATTTCCACCATCCACCAGTAAGTGTACTACAGTTAAGTTACCCCAAAAACGATTGCGTCCGCTTCCAAAAAGAAGATATTTGCCACGCCTACTACGGAGAATACTGCAAAGAGGCCTAAGGCAACACCTGCGACTGTTGGTTCGAAAACGAGTAAGTAGAATTGATTGTAGATGTTTCTGCATAGATAATATTTAAGTTGCTACAAGGGGATACAATATATGGCATGGGCCAGCATATTGTCTATAATACAGTTTTTCTTATAGAAATTTTTTCAGTCCATGAATTTGTTGGTTGAAATTTTTTTTTTGTAGTAGATTAATTTGCTTACAACTGAATAATTTGTTCCTTTTTATCATAGAAGGCACGCCAAGAGTGATTCCCAAAATCAAGGTTACACATCATACTATGTCACTGCCCAAACAGCGCAGGTCACGTTCATTCCAGGAAACGGAAACAGAAACGGAAACGGGCCCTCAGGCAAAGTAGGGGTGCTCAAAATGAAAATGTGGTTCCTGATCCAAATGAAACTAAGGATACAACATACCACGACTTTCAGGTGAGATTTTAGACTTTCCTGAAATAATTTCCGTACAAAATTTAATATTGAAAAAATCCATATTTTATACAGTGCTTTTTGGCTTATTTTCGTAATATAATAATGTGCAAAACAATCTACAGAATTTGATCGTGTCTATATTTTTCATTAGGTAGGTACCGATATTTCGTTTATCATATGTGCACTTATCCGAGTTCAAAAATAATACATTTTCGGCCTAAGAGTAGACAAATAGACTCACTATCCGAGCTGGGATCGTTACTTGAAAAAAGTTACGCGTTACTTTACAGTTACTTTCGAATAATGATAACTTTATTTTCGTTACTTATTGGCAAGTAACGCATTACTGTAACTTCTTTACTTTAGAAGTAGTTCGTTATTTGAAAGTTACCCGTTACCTGAACGCGTTAGTTTGTCCACAACGCGCTTGCGCGTCAAATAAGTGGGGTTATGTTGGCTGTTTGTTTTGCGGTCCAAAAAGCATAGCAAGTATTATAAAAAAGTTGTAATTAATACCTTTTCCAATTTAAAATGGCCCAAATGTCTTTTAAAAACGTTAAATTATCAGCAGCAGATGTGTCGGATGCAATTTTTCGTAATGATATTGTAGAGAAAAACAGCGTACCTATTGGAACTTAAAAGGAATTTACGTTAAAGACATGGCCAGGGAAAGCGGTAAAAAATTAATCCCTCGGAATATCCGAGTCTTCCAACTCTGCTGTCACTATTACACTTTCCAAAAACACAATATTTGTGTGCCCCGTCGCTTTTACTAATTAGGCCAGTGCAAATAATTTTGAATTTGCAAAAATTTTTATAAAGCTGCAACTATCAAAAATAGTTAGCGTTAGTACTCCTAGTAAACATTATACCAAAAGTCCCCATTCGTCCGGTTGTTGCGTCATTAGAAAAAACGGTGATATAGTATTTTTAATACCCATTTAGAATAACCCCATTCTTATTTATCAATCACGAATCAGATGAAACAAAAAATTACCAACAAAAACGAACGTCGATTTCTGATACGTCAATTTCATGTACACCTAAGAAATTCCTAACCTAATTTTATTTGTGCGTTCAAGATGCGACGTACGTTTTGTCACTAGAACGACTGGTACTTCTAAATAGGTATTAAAAATTCTATAGATCACTTTAGGTCCCTTTGATTTTCAATATGATTTTGATTATTACTGATAAACAAAGCAATTTCAAGATGGTTAGTGAGAAAAAAAATATGGATCCTTGAATATTTATCAAGGTATGATTTTTTTAATTTAATTTTTTTCTTTGTTGATTGTGCATCTTTGATAGGTATAGCGATATTAAGCATTAAGCTGATAAGAATAGATATTATTGATTGATCTGTGTCAAAGGTTGAGAAGCGAGAGGATATAAGGCATTAGTGACTAGTGATTTTTTACAATTATTATTATTTTGTTTACTTTAATAGATTTCTATTTTATGGCAAAATCAGCATACCACCTTGGTAAATATTTACAATATTTAATGTTTATGGAAAGGGTTTTTTGAGGTTTTTTACTGGTTTTATTGATTTTTTACTGGTTTTTTACTGACATTTCAAAAATTCCTACCTAATTTGTGATTAGTTTCCTTAATTAACTTAGTAGTTGTCTATTAATGACCTGACGGTGCAATCTTTGCATTGAAGTAAATGGTCAACATTTTGAACAATTATTGTAAACCATAATTAATCTGTTAAGTTTGTCGGTATCTTTTTAGGACACCCTGTATATTTAAATAATATATTGTTTATCAAAAAAATGAACTCATCCATATTTTTTTTTTCTTCATTATGTCCTAATAATTGCTCCAATGCAAATTTGAACATAGAAAAATTGTCCGTTTTTAGGGACCTAATGTGTTCTAGACCCGAAAAAACAATCCGCCATCTTGAATTTCGGCACTTATCGGTAAAAATCGTGAATAAGTCAAAAACGGTACATTCTATCGAAAAAACTCAAGAGAGGAAAATTGAATAGAATGAAAAAATGAATGTGGTATCAAGAAACTGAATGCGTACCATAACGTAGTAACAATTTAGAATTTTTTGAATTTTTGGAAAATTAGCAAAATCAAGGGAACCAGACCATAATGCGGTTAATGCGTTTTTTCAATCCCAATAAACAAATAAAATTACCTTCTAATATTAATTTAAATAAAAAAACACTGTAAAAATGTTACCTATATATTACCTAATTTAATTCAACTACCCTCGTATGAACTAATACAATAATACTATTCAACATCATTATTACAGCGATTATACAACTCACTGTAGATTATTCCCATATGACACGAGAGGCTTAAGAAGTGATAAGCCTTTTGGGATTATCGCGCTTGGTGGCAATATTGTTCATTTGCTATTAATAATAATGAAAATTAATAAAGTATGGGAGTTTAGTTCGTTGTATAACCTTCTGAATACCACTCGATGTTTCAGGATTACCTAATACTTTTACCTGACACTCAAGGCGTTACCAGCAACACCACTCCTCCTTCGGAGTCGTGGTGCTGCGGCATAACGCGTTTCGTGACAGGTAAAAGTATTATCCGGTAATCCTGAAACCTCTTGTGGCATCACATTTGACAACAAATTCAGTATTCACCTGACAATATTGCTACCTGGACAATACCAACAACATGGTATTTCGGAGGTCAGAGACCATTTTTTGACATTGTCAAACTGATATTTTTAATTTGAAGTTCTTATTCATATTTTTGCATTCTATTTATTTTCAAAATTTTACGTGAAATAGTCATGACCAATACCACTCGAGAAAAAATTGTGTAGGCAAAATTGTTCCCAAGGTTTTATTCAAATTTGTTGCTTTTCTGCAACCATTAAACTTTCATACCTTTCGAAAATTTTGCCGACAAATTTTTTTCTCTTGTGATATTATTATATATAAAAAAAATTTGCCCTAACTTTTCCAGCGACAAAACTGAACCTAGCTTGACATGACCAGCAAAATTTGTCATTTACGTAGGTAGGAATCCATTAAATTGTCTTACCGAATTACACTCAAGCTTTTTTTTTGTCGAAAAGGAAACTTTACTTTATAATTCAAGTTTTGTTGTATTTAGGCAATTTAACTCAAATTGCCAGGCAACAAAATTCTCATTGAAATATTAAGTTTACTTTGACGCAAAAAGGCTCTAGTGTTATTAATTATAAGTGACAATTAACTTTCTAATACCAAATAACATCATGAGAGTGAACCAAGGCCTTTCTGTTACCATTCAACAGTGACTACAATCTAAAACTGGGATACGATTTATTCCATCTTATTCGAATTCCTCTTCATCTACGGAAATTTGTTTGTTATCACAAGAAATGCCAATTCAATTACCACATAGGATTGAACACGGAATATTCGACTTTATACATGTGCATAATTTGTTACATCCTGACTTGCAGTTGCAATATATCATATTCAGAACAAAATCAGGTGCCACTGCCTTTGACATAGTTTTTGGAACCAACATGTCTTTTTTTTTCATCCCAACCCCAATGTATTGTTTTTTTTTTTATTATTAAGCCAATATTGAATTTGTAAGTAAGTCCTTTAGTAATGATTCTCATCAGCTCCGTCTGAAGTTGGAAGCAAAGTAGCTAACTCAAAATTCTTGCTAGGAACTTGACGAGATGTAAGGGTTTTGTATTTATAATATCTCAACTGATTTAAATCATCAATCATCAAACATTTTGTTTTGTTCTCCGATTTTCGCGCCTTAAATAATTAAATTATCAAAACCGAATAATTAACAGAATTGAAAATTCCTAAGTTGATAGATCGCTATGATACAAAATTACTTCTCATTGTATCTGATAGATTTTTTAATTCTCTTCAATTTTCATGTCCCCATTTTTTTCAAAAAAATGTACCGTTTTCGAGTTATTCGCGGTTTTTCCCAAACAGTGCTGAAATTCAAGATGGCGGACGACTTCTTTTGGTGACGCAACAGTCGGAGGCATGGGGACTTTTAGCATGTTAATAAGGGGTACTAGGGCTACTTATTTTTGATAGTCGCAGCTTTATAAAAAAATTTGCATTTTCAACATTGTGAATTTCATAACTGCACTGGCCTAAATTTTTAAATAGGTTTTGCCAATATTTTCCCATGCATAAACTTGTAACATGGACCGCAAAACAATAATCAGCTGATCGAAAAAATGATAGTGAAATTGTGCGATGTTGCCAGTTTGTACAAATTGAAGCGCGTTAAGTTTAAAAAAAAAACTTTACAAAATGACCATCAATATATCTTTTCAATAAATAGCTTGAGTCTTTGACTGCATCGAATATAAGGTTAATTAATACTAAAGAATTTGAATCTCACTTCTAATGAAATCGAAATTATTCATGATTCTTTCCTGTATAGCGTGATAGAAACTGACACTTGGCAACAATGTTTTGCGCATGCGCAACAGAATTATTCTACTTTGAAAAGGTCTATTAAGGATGAAGCGACTAAATAGTGAACTTAGTTTAGGACAAACCTGCTTTTTGAAGCGTCCCAGTGCCCAGCGTCTGCAGTGTCTTTAGAGCAAAGGCGGCGCGTGCCACGCCCAAAAACGATTATTTTGAGCTTTCAAAACAAATTTTCTGTACTACCCACATTTGATTTACCTTTTCCTCAATTTTCAATTATTTATAAGGAAGATAAACAAATTGTTCATAGTAATTAGTAACGCGTTATTTTCATAGTAACGCGCTACTTTCATAGTACCTAACTCGTTACTTTAACAAAATAACGATCTGCAGTTACTTCAGGAAAGTAACGTCGTTACAGTTATT